ATTCCTCCTCAGTTCTAAGTTGCTTCTCTCCTTGATTAGTTTCCACCCATTGCTTCTTGTCCTGCCTTCAGGTGCTTTGGAGAATAGTTTGACTACCTCTTCTTTCTTCATTGGTATTGTGCTAGACTGGGCTTTTATAATCTCAGGCAAGTTTTTGGGGAATTCAACCTCACCCTGCCAAAGTCAACCTGGAGATGTGATTACCGTTAGTCCACGACTTACAACAGCTCGTTTAGTGACCAAAGTTTCCACTACACTGCAAAAACCATTTTTCACACTTACCACCATTGCCTTTGCTTGTCAGAAGGTCACAAAAAGACATCACGTGATCTCGGGGGGACACTACAACCGTCATAAATATGATGGCCACGTTTTCGTCCTCCAGAGCCTTCAGGGACCTTGAGGCTTCCCTGAAGGCTCCGGAGGACGAAAAACGGCCCTACGAACAAACCGGAAGTCCATTCCCGAACTTCCGGTTCGCCCATAGGGCTGGTTTTTTGTGCTCCGGATGCTTCAGGGAAGTTCCTGAAGCCACTGGAGGGGCCAGGAGAGGCTGTTTTCGCCCTCCCGAGGCTCTTATAAAGCCTCTGGAGCCTGGGGAGGGTGAAAAATGGCTTTAAAAAACTCAGCTGGCCTCGCGTGCCCTGACAAATGGCTCAATGTGCCACCTGTTGCATGCGTGCCACAGGTTCGCCATCCCGGGTGTAGGGCCTCCTGCTTGGATGTGGGGTGGTGGTGGACTTGATCACCTACAAGGTCCTTCCCAACTCTGTTAATCTAACCAGAAGCAACCTAGATAGAAAGAGGAAATTCCTGACAGTTAGAACAATTAAATCAGTGGGACAGAAGTTGCTTTCAGAAGTCGTGGGGATTCCATCACTGGAGGTTTTTGAGAAGAGAATAGACAGCCATCGGTCTGAAATGCTATAGCGGTGATGGCAAACCTTTTTTTTTGTATGGTGTGGCAAAATGGCACATGTGCTATTGCGCATGCACACGTGCCCAACATCAATTAAATCCCCACCCACCTATGCATGCGCGCGGCCCCCGTGAATGTGTGCACGACTTCTCCCCAGGTTCCGGAGGCTTATCTGAAGCCTAGTGATGGAAAAAACGGTCTCCTCTGGCCTTCCAGAAAGGCGAAAAATCAGCTGGCTGGCGCACGTACCAGCAAATATGGCTCCATGCGCCACCTGTGGTACATATTCCATAAGTTCACCATCATGGTGCTGTAGGGTCTCCTGCTTGAGCAAAGGATTGGACTAGATCAGTGGTGGAATTCAAAAAATATCATGACCAGTTCTTGTAGGCATGGCTTGGTGGTCGTGGCAGGGGAAGGATACTGTAAAATCTCTATTTCCTCCCAATCAGGTGGGACTTAGGAGGCAGAGAATAGATGAGGGCGAGGCCAGCCAGTGGTGGTATTTGCCGGTTCTCCGAACTACTCAAATTTTCCGCTACCGGTTCTCTAGAACCGGTCAGAACCTGCCGGATTTCACCCCTGGGCTAGATGACCTATGAAGTCCCTTCCGACTCTGTCAATATGCTTAAATTTTTAATTTGAATCGTTTGAAGGGCTCCCAGGGTGTGAGCTGAGGACTGCATCTGCTTCCTCTGGCTCTCTTGAACATCACTTTCTCAGAAGTGTGAAAACACGCGCTAGAAAAAGTAACAGTCACCCTTCTTATTTTATTTTCCTTCCCTCCCTTTCCTTTCTTCCGCTTGCAAACGCCGAGGTTTGCAATTGCTCAATCTGCCAAATTCAGTCCGTTTCCAAAAAAAAAAAGAGAGCCCTTGGGGTTTTTTTTTTCCTTCCTGTCTTGGTGCTGTTGAAATCCGGGACAGGCACATCCAGCATTGCTCTTGAGCGGCTGCAAAAAACGTTAGGGAAAATCTTCCTTTCTTTACCTCCGCTAGAAGCACTGCCAGATTCAAATAAAACAGGTAAAATTAGATTATAAAAATCTAGCACTTGATAAGAAGGACAGGTAGTTCCCGACTTGCAGGAATTTGACAAGGAGGTAGAACCGTCCTAAAAAAAAAGAGACTTATGATCCCTTTTCACAGTTACAACCTTCGTGGGATCCCCAGGATCATCTTCTTGTCTGTCACTGGATGTTGGCAATCCTATTTTTATCAACAGCCGCACAAAAGACGGCTTAGATTTTGAAGTCGCGATGTTCTTTTTTTGGACCTCATTTCCCTTCAATCTTTCCCTGGAGGATTAAGTGAAGGATGGCGTATTTTTCCAGGTGTCGCATCCCATGTCCACAATAGTCTAATTTTCACTTTTAAATGACTGGTGATTTCCCTTGGCTTTCCCAGGTGGCTCATCCTCTCCTCCTTTGTGATTTTGTCAACCCAACTTATACGTAACAGCCGTCTGTAAATCCACATTTCGAATGCTTCTAGTTCCTTCAAGTGGCTTTCCGTCAGAGACCAACTCTCTACTCCGGAGAGTGATTTTCAGCCTGAGGCTTATGGCGAAGACTTTTTTCATTTGGAAGAATGCTGTTCGAGCTTTCTCAATCCTTGTCTTGCCTTCACTGATCGTGTCCCAGCTTCCTTGTATATTAGAACTGAGATATGTGATCCCCATGATCACATTAAGAGCCGAGGTGGCGCAGTGGTTAAATGCAGCACTGCAGGCTACTTCAGCTGACTGTAGTTCTGCAGTTCAGCTGTTCAAATCTCACCGGCTCAAGGTTGACTCAGCCTTCCATCCTTCTGAGGTGGGTGAAATGAGGACCCAGACTGTGGGGGCGATATGCTGACTCTGTAAACCGCTTAGAGA